AGACATTATTGTTGAAACTACCTGGAAGAATCTCCCAGTTGCACTGAAGCATATTAACAGAATGCTAAATATAGCTGGGAGAATCCATTTTTAAATTCAGAATTACCACAACACTGAGATTGATATGGCAGCATAAAAAGTGTTGTAAATTGCTCCCTTGCTCTTTCAGCCAAACATGTAATTTTACACAGCCTGTCTCCATAATGATCTATGGCGTCTATGACATACTGTATCTTTGCCCTAAATCTTCTGGGAGAAAGAATGCAGCATGCCTGTTTAGTTTCCTGCACTTCCATCTGGGAAGCCTCTATGCTAAAATCATCAAAAGGACCCTTTCCGCTGCTGCTCCTGGTTTACTTCTTACTTTGCAAACTCAATTTTCCAAAACAAACTTCTTCACGATGTATTTTTCTTTGCTGATCCGAAGGCTACGAAACACTGAGCTGCACCTCAGGGCCACCCTTATAAAAACAAGTGAAGGCCAAGCTGCTCTGCCATTCTTAACAAGGACATTCCTTCGTACTGACATAAGGGATCAAGAAAGATCGTTGGCAGAGCGTGTGATGGGCCTCAGTGGAAACACCAAAGGTGAAGAACTCAGCCCTTGATCCTCAAAGGAAATTGGGGGAGGGGATGAAAATCCGGCAAGAACCATTTGTTAATTTGGGGACAGAATTATCTGGCTGAAAATCATGTCAAAAGGTGGTGGGAAATAGCTGAGTCATACGGCAGCTACTTAAGACCTGCCCTGGCCACAGCCTGCTTCTTGTTTTAAAGCTATTATAGCAATTTAAATATCAGGCAACAATTTAAGTGCAACAGTTTAAAAACAAAGCAGCAAAAATCGCATTCAACAGTGCCAGAAAGATTACTAGAAAGAAGATTCTTTCAATGTCTTTCTCTGGTACACACCACAGGATGAGAAGGAAAAGGAAGTAGGGAGGTATGCAAGAGCCTGGGGGCTTGCTACAGTTCAGCATGATGTTCCAATTAGCCCTGTATCTTGTTACGTCCAAGTGCTTTTGCAAAGTCAAGTTCACTATAAAAGAGGCTCTATTTTGTACGCCCCAGTCATAGAGGCAAAAAATTAAGTTTATTCCTGATGAAAGGACTTTGTACAAGTGTAATATAATAGTTGGTTAAGCCATCTAAGTATTATATACTTGTAACTTGATTCAACAAGTGTATCATTTATTTTTGGGGGAATCACACCTACAACACATACTTTCAGATACATTAATAATTCTTTTGATCATTCAAAATGATCCAATGAAATACAATTCACCCATTTCACACTGATTTTATATTATATTAAAATGTAAACCAGCTCCCATCATCCCTTTCCATTTTTTATTATTGTGATTAGGAGTACTATCCTATTTATACATAATTTTATATTTCAATACTGTATGTACAGTCCACCTCTCAGTGCAAAGTTGTTACAAAGTTGCATATACGCTAGACAAAGATACACTAACATAATGAGCGTCAACAAGCCTATGAGGCAGGAGTTTAACTTTATAAATTTAATACCGTAACAACTCAGTATCACATAAAGCACAAAAAATATTGTCAGGGAAAGACAAAATGAAATTGATAAATCTTATGCTTCATTTGCAAGCTAGCAGTATAAGAGCTAGGCTTACTTATTTGGAAGGGATTTCCATAACCATAGTGTTACAAACAAGCCAGCTCTGTCTCTTGCAATATAATTACAAATATAACTACCTTTTTGGTTGGTGTATGGGCAGAACCTATGACGCTGATCTTAATGTATGGGTGTACTCTCTAAATGGTGGTTTCTAGATGGCCAGACCCCAAACCACTAAAGGTTTTAGAGCAGTTGCCCCCAACCTTTTCCCAACTGAGGACCAGTGGGAGGGGAGGGACCCGTGTGTGGAGGGGCGGGGAACCCCATGCTTGTGGGTGAGTGGGGGTGCAGGGGGCGGGGGTACGCTTACACGCAGATGGGACATGCTTGCAGGGGCAAAGCACTCTTGTGCACAGGGGCATGCTCGTGGGTAGGTGGGGTGTGCTTGTGGGGAGTGGGGCATGCTCATGCACATGTGCAGGGGTGGGGCTCTCACTTCTGGGGTTGGGCATGCTCATGTGCATGTGTGGGGGCGGGGGAGTGTGGAGAGAGCAGAAGATCTGTCTCTGTGGCCCGGTCCTGCCAGGGCCATGGCCCTCTACAGGGCCGCGGACTGGGGGTTGGGGACCCTGTTTTAGAGGGTAATAAGATCACTTTTAACTGCACTTGGAAATGCACAAGTAGCAAGCAGAACTGGTGTAAACATTGATATTACTTGTTTTCACTTCCTGAGCCCTATCCAAGTACAGTGGTACCTCGCTAGACGATGATAATCCATTCCACTGAAATCGCTGTTTAGCGAAATCATTTTTAGCGAAAAGCATTTCCCTATTGGAATGCACTGAAACCTGTTTAATGTGTTCCAATGGGGCAGAATCATCATTGTCTAGCAAAGATCGGCCATAGGAAAGCTGCTCTGGAAACTGCCAATCAGCTGTTTAAATAGCTGTCTTGCGAAGCTTAGGTCCCGAAAACACGTGTTTTGCGAGCGTGGAGGAAGCTGTCAAAATCGTCTAGCGAAAATCAGTTTGCTAAGCAGGGACCAAACATTGTCCAGCGAAATTCCCCCATAGGAATCACTGTTTTGCGAATCACTATAGCGATCACAAAAAGTCAATGTCTAGCAAAAAAACTGTCTTGCGTGGTAACTGTCTAGCGAGGCACCACTGTAGATATATTTTGGGAGATATATACAGCTTGGACATAACTAGTGTATGGGTAACTGATGCCAGGTCTGATTACTGTAGATAGTGTTCTAGCTGGCATGCCAAGTATAGCTGATAAAAGACATCCCAACCACCAATGCTATCTTCTCAGACAGAGATAGGTTCAATAACAGTGGGAAGACCAGGGTTACACCTCCTGGAAGATAATCTGGTTTCTTAAACCCCCACTGCGATTTAATCTGCATTAAAATTTAGGTTGTACATCTTTATGAATCTCAGTACTCCCTCTAGACACCTGATCAAGTATCAAAATAGTTTTCAGTCTCTCATATGGTCTTTTCAGAGCTCAGATCCAGTCCAGTTTAACTTTGTAGAAGTAAGTACAGGTGTATTCAGATATAACATGCTTAGGTTAGGGGAAGGGACCCTTTTCAGCCATGCTTTGTTTGTATGAGCAGAATCTATGCCAATCCTTTGACATGGTGCATATAAATGAAAATGCAAAACTCAAACCAGAATTTTAAACTTGTAACAAATAATTCTGTTCCATTGCTTTCCAGAACAAATTATGTTTGCTACAAAAAAAGTCTACACCAGCAGTCTGCAGCAACTGCATTATACATTACAGCAGCGGTCCCTAACCTTTTGGGGCCATGGACCAGCTGAGCCTCTGAAGAAGGTGGGGGCCCCCCACACTTGTGCAGGTGCAGGCACACGCCTGGGCACATGCATGAAGTGGTGGGGGAGCACACGCACCCAGCAGCACCAGTGTGAGCGCTCCCCCACCCCTTTGTGCATGTGCAGGAGCATCTGCCTGCCCACCTGCCCACCCCTGCATGCAGGCACTCGGGTGCTTGCGTGAAGGGGTGAGGGAATGCTCATGCCAGCGCTGGCACGTGTGTGTGTGTGCACAGCAGCTGTGGGGAGGGGAGTGCATGCGGGGGTAGGAGGTCTGTCTCTGCGGCCTGGTCCGGCTCAGGCCACAGACTGTCACCGGGCCACGGACTAGGAGTTGATGACCTCTGTATTACAGTATTTATGGATAGTATTTTACAGCCTGATTCTTGGAAATAGGATATTAGCTAAAATAAACAAACTTCTAGTATTTCCTATGTGGTCTTTTTTTATAGCAAAAAAGACAAATTTTGGAGTAATGCTAGTATCTCCATTGGTTCTGAAGTGCTGTATCAACAATGAAAATTATAAAATATAGAAGATTACATTAGGCAAGTCTAAACTGGGAATTCAATAATCTATTCCTTCCCATATTCCCATCAAAGAAAATTGTTCACTCCCAAGGGATACTTCATTTTAGCATCTTCTGAAGAGATGGTTATTTTTAAAGTAATTTCTTAGTTGGAAACCTAAAGTAGCTAACATGGGCAGCATTCTGTGGCATGAGAATTTTCCATTAAGCAAAGACTGCTTTTTCCAACAGTCTTAATGTTTTTGCTGTTCACCCATGACTGCACACTCTATTTAGAATCCTCACGAGGAACATCATTCATCACATAGAGCTGATCCAAATACAACAATAGAGTTGGTCTCCAATTCATGGTTAGCTGTGTATTCTTCTTTACAAATGACAGCCTTATTAAAGGACAGATCTCAGTAATTTTTAATGTAAATTTTCACAGGGTATAGGAGCCTCATAGGTCCTCACAACATGCACTCTAGAGGCATATCAAAACTTTTTCAGTGCATACACCCACACATACACAAAAGGTGTTGGCTGTCTTGGAAGGGTTACACTGCTACAAAAAAGTCCCTGGGGGCTGCATGGTTGCATGTTGCCCACCTCTTTTAGGAAAATAAAAAAGAAACTTTTCTTTCCCACATACATTTCTTGCAACTTTGTTCTCTTCTTTTTGATGATATACTTTTTTTCTTTAATAGTGATGAGTAAGTCATCATCCTTGAAAGTAACTGCTCGGGAGCAGGTTGCATTAACCACTGTTAATTGTATGGCAGGATCAATAATTATAAAGCATGAGAGTTATTATGTTTCTAATGGGGAAAGGCATTAGAATAAATGTAAATAAACACAACAATATTTTAGATGGAAATCCAATTGTTATTTTCTAGCAAAAGAGACCCATTGAATCAATGGGACTTTAATAAATCAGAACTTGTGCAAGTCCTACTGATTCAGTGGGTCTACTCAATTTGAAACTAACAATTGGATTTCACCTATAGAAGACACATGAGTAAATGAAATGTTATCAGGACAGCAGAAACCTCACCTGTGACAATGATGTTCCCCTCTTCAACAACTTTCTGGACATCTTGCAAATGGATCTCTGGGCTCACATCAACCTTGCTTCCAGATAACCGTAGATATGTATTAAGAGTGGCAGGTACCTTGACCACAACGGAGCCTGTTAGATACAATTAAAAAAAAAATCATAGGACATACAAGACTCAGGTACTCCCTCTGTCCCAACAGTTCCATAATAATACTGGGATATGGCTTTCTGCTTTGCTCCAAAGATTCACTCGAATAACATGGTAACTGATTGAGTGAATCCAACCCAGTAAAAATGCTGGGATGGATTCTAACTATAGCTTTACAAATAGAAGCTTTCCTTGTGTTCACAAAAGTGACAAAGAGCTAGTAGAGGATCCCCACCCCCGTGGAAATTTTTTGCCAAATGCCCCTTTCATCCTGTCCCAGTTCTAGGCTGTCCCCCAGTCCTCTGGAGATTCTTAAGAGGTATATGGGGAGTGTTTAAAGTCTTTTGGATTCCTTTTGCCACTAGGAGTATCAAGGGATATATCCTGGTAATGCACAAACTTTTCTTTTTGAAAGAGCATTCTACACAGTTATTTCTATTCTATTCTAAACAGTCTAGTCTCTTCTCGTCTTCATCCCCACCTCTAGCACACCTCTTCAGCATCACTGTGATGCTTTATTGCCTAAAGAAGTCAGGCTGAGGCCCTTGGTTTCACTCTAGGCTCCCTTGATTCTGGCTTAGACAAACTGTAACTGCTAAGCCAAAGTAGTCCAGCCAAGCGAGTGTTAATGGGGCAAGCCTAGGGAACATAGAACAAAGAATGGTGGTAGGAAGTGTGTATAAGCAATGGCTCCGCAGTTTAAAAAAACTGATATAGCTACTGTGGGAAATGGGGGAAACAAGCAGAAGCTAAGGATTGGCTGGAGGACGGTTGTGGCCTGCTCAGCAAAGATGGCAACAAAAGCTTTCTGCATCCCCAAACAGTCACTGCTAGCCTCCAGAGCAGAGCTCCAACAGAAGTTGGAACTTTTAATGACTTGGGGGTAGGGGGATGGCTTTTGAATGAAACACTTCCAAGGTGGTGGTGGGGGAAATCACGCAATCATCCTCAGAAGGGGAAACACACTTAATTTGTAAATACAATTGTGTTAAACTGTTTAATATGTTTTCTCCAAAATGCTGGGCTGGACTACGGTGTTCTTTTGCCACTAATCTACTTCAAATGTCACATAAGGGCCAGTAATCTTATCGCTAGTCGCAACTATACCATCAACTGCTGAACAGTAAGCCAACAATTATATAAAGTCAATTGGGTCTAGTCAAGACTAACAACAGGATGCTGGTCTTTGTTGTAATGTTTTAATTGTTTTTGTCATATTGATAGTAAGGCACCTCAGGAGAGCTTCCCCCTCCCCCCCCAAAAAAAAGTGTTCTAGGAATCCTGAAATAAATAGCAAAGCAAATATTTTGAAAATCCTTGTTCATTAACCTTCCTGAGATTTCAGATCTACTTCTCCTGCTTGACCGACAACATAAGCATCTATCTCTCCTTGATATGTAGAAGCTTTTAGGGAACCTTCTGCAGAATCTGGAAAATAAAAGAACAAAAATATTGCCATATTAATTGGCTTTTTAAAAAATCTGCTCCTCATTTTAACAGACTGTTTGCACTTGGAGGAAAAAGCAGTGTTGTGGAGTTTTTGTTCTGAAGGAGCAAAGGAGCGACACAATGTCCTTTCTATATTTAAACTTTATTAGACAGTATGAAAGTCCCTGAACATCAGAAGACAACACATCTGTGTTTGTTCAGAGAAGGTAAAATAGCTTAAGTTTTCAAAGCCTACAGGGATAATCATGTATACATTTGTCTCCAGTCATTTTCATTTTACTCTTTCCATGAAGTAAGGGCATGAAAATATAAAAATATGTGTGACGGGGTTTTGAAAGGATAATGTTTTCAAAGGATTCAGAGATAGCAGACACAATAGTCTTCTCTAATTGTCTCTGCCTGCTGCTTTGATTTCCAGTATCTAGACTTCCTCTCCCTCCCCCAAACACCCAAGCAAAATCTTGCCTTTAGACATTGTGCGAAAGTTCACTTGCACAACCTCTAGGGAAGAACCACATGTTTCCCCTGCATTTTCTAACTCTATGTATTGTGTAGAATACCTATGAAACAAAACCCAGAGGAACATCAGGATATGCACAAAAATCCTTGCAGAAAGTGACTCAACTGGCAATAATTCCCAATATGCATTTATGCTCCCTAAAAGGCTTAGTAAATAACAGGAAAGATTATAGGGCAGTTCCACAGTTCCTGCACAGTTAAAATTATTTATGTAATTTTTAATCTATAGCAATCAGGCAGACAGACACATACACCAACAACAGATATAACTGCTTTAAAAATATAAAAGAAAGCTGCTTCTCAAAAAAAAATCCTGAAAAGGGACGAAACTAGACAGAAAAATCTGTTTGTTGGAGACTGCTTCTTAATGAGTATAAACTAAATTTGAGTTTACAGGATACAAGTAGAATGTTCCTCAAATTTCCAAAGGTTTTACAGGAACAACAACAATCTCAGAACTAATCTATGATTTAATTCTTCAAAAAAAACCTTCTGGTTTAAGATAATGTCAGATATTGTGACTCTGTATCCACAATCCAAATTGCCAGGAAATGGACCAATACTGTGCCCACGTTGCCAGCAAGAAAAACGACACAACATTTTGCATAGCAAAGGGCAGCCTGAATGTTGACGACATCAATGTCAGCAGTCAGGATGGTCTACAAGATACTCTCTTGTGCTCACTACCACTCACAAGAAAGACACCAAGTAGGAAAACCCCAGTAATTGACTCCTTTTTCCATCAGTTAATCACTTCTCACTAAACCACAAAGCAATTGTCAATGCTGTTTTTCAACAAAAAATGGTTTTTGGAAGAACTGAATTTCTTGGCTTTTAAAAATGGAAGTTGAAGTATATTTACACTACACACAAATTCCAAGAGCAACTTCCCTCATCTAGAATTACCTAGTGCTAGAGGACCCCAGAAGTTGGTGATATGATCTGTAATATGGGTGCTAGGGGATGAAATAGCAAAAACAGCTGGGATGTGGCTGCAGTTTTTCTGTGCCAAAATATTTTCAAGAGCTGTTTTGGACTTATGGAAATGGTGAAGCTATCACTGTGACTTCTTTTGATTTGATTTTTCTTTCAGAATTAAAATAAAATTTCTATATACGGTACAGTATATGGGTAATCAGAGTGGTGTAATGGATAGAATAATGGACCACGACTCAGGAGACCTGGGTTCAATTTCCCAGCTCTGCCACAGAAACTCACTGGGGGTGGTAGTGGAATTGGTAAAAATATTGCTTAAATAACTCACCTTGAAAACCCTACTAGGGTTGCTATAAGTCAGTTCTGACTTGATGGTACAGAAGAATACCTAAATATTATGGGACCCTTATAATCGGTAAATTACATTAAAAATGATGAACAAATCAGGAAACACCTACATGCTCCCATTTCTCAAATTAGGACATTTCCATCTGAAACTCTGCAAATTCTTAGAAACAAGAAATTCTATTGGGAGCTATCCATAAAGCTGCCAGCTACAAGATTTGCAGACCAGGAATTTAAATTAGAAGAAAACATTCACAGCATCAACGGTTAGTCACAGCCGTTGCAAGAGAATTCCTTCAGCTATATCACACATTTTATATTGAATTTAAATTGCTTCATCTAAATAGCAGCACTGAGTTTGTCGGTGCAAACAGAGGAGACCAGGCTTTGCTGGTCAATGACCGTAATAAACATTTATTATTATTATTAAAGCAAGAGGAGACAAGGCACAATCTAAGAACAAGCCCATTCAAAATGAAATCAGTGGAACTTTAGTCAGTTACTATTCTGTTCTATCCCTTTCAGTAGAGACTTCTTACAACTAACTTCAGTTGGCTTGCCTCATCACTGGAAATAAAATGAGACAAACTAAAATTTAACTATTTTAACGGCTGTATTTTAATGGTGAGTCTGTAGACAGTTAAAGGGGAATGTACTGACAGGACTCATTCTTAAACAAAAGGCACATATGGCTCTAATCAATGATGTGGCCTTCTTGAAAGAATTCAACAACCTTGATTTTGACTAGTATAGAGGATGAAGTGGGGGAAGCAATTTTACTAGTTTTGTTTCAGTTTATGAAAGACAGATTTCTGGGACTGAAGGCATCTGATGAGAAGCCCACTTTTGTTCCGCTTTATACTTTATTGGACAAAGGAAGCTGAGAGATATAAAATAGAACAAAATAACATGCAGATCACTTGTTGCAGTTGCTTTGGGGCTATTTATACACACTCATCTTACAATGGATGAAAATCCAGAAGTTCAGAGAGCTAAGATCATGAACTTATTAAGATAAATAATCAAAAGGGACAGCAACCAACACATATTCCAAAGCGAGTTCGTTAAATCGGGAATTGAACTAAAGGTTACTAATAAAGTGGCTGCCGGAGAATGCTGGGCAATTTCAATATAAAAGGAAAGAAAGGGGACTCATCCCTGTTCAAAGATGATGATTATAATTGTTCCTGTTTCTCCTTGTTTTCCCATTAGCAAGGATGAGACACAGCAGGAGTAGCAGAGAATCAAAAGCTGCTAAATTGAGAAAAGATCAACTGTGGCAAATCAGTTTAGCACAGACAAGGGTTTTTTGCATGATCTACTCTACCTCTGGCAATGGAGGACAGGGCGTGTTTCCCCCTTTTTAAACAACCACAGCTGTTAGGCTGACTCAGATGAAGAAAAATTGCAGGAAAAAGGACCACTGAGCTCATCCGCGGTCAATACTGGGACCTGCTGAATCATACTGCGACTAGGACTTGGAAAGTTACTTTTTGAGACGACCACTCCCTAAATTCATCTGTCAGCAAATACAGGGAACATGCTGGTGTGAGGATTCTGGGGGCTGTATTCCTGGGGGAAAAAAAAACTTTTCCAAGCTGGGATGGTAAGATTGTGAAAATCTAGGAACCGAGAAAGCAGAGAAACACCTAGTTTTCACACATACCTAGTAGAGATTCATGCTTGCCCCTGAATTTTCTCCTTAGATTCTTCTTTCAGTAAACCATTCCCCAGAATGGCTTACTTATGCCAAACCAATTATTATACTTTCAGGCAAAAAGAGAATGACGAAGACTTTTGGCAGCTTGGAGAAGTGAGCCATAGTGATGGAAATTGCTACTGGTGAATACAAAGCCAAATGACCCAAATCACCGTGTCTTGGTCCCATCTACGGATGAGATATTTTAAACTTATAGATGCACTTGCCTTCTTTTATGGAAGCAAGGCTGTTCCAAGATACTTGGCTGCCTAAGACAAGGAACAAAGCAGTCTATTCTCTCTCCATTTCATGCACAAAAGCAAAATAGATTGCTTACTAGGTCCTACTTCAGTAATGATGAAAGAACAGCATATCTGAGCAACAGGCACGCTTAGGGAGCACAGGGCAAACAGCATAGTTTGTGTATATGGACAAAAACATCTGCTCCCTGCCTCTCCACATTCATGACTTGAAGTGGTTGCTTCACTCTGCCTAGTGGTAGGGCTGGCCCACTTGCAACAATGCTATTAGACACAATAAAGCAAACAATAACAATGTGGCCAAGGGATTTGAATCTGTATTTCTAACGTCAAAATCATCATCTCAGATCTCTGGATTGTGGACAGAATAGTCTTGTGTCCCAATTATCCTGAAGTACTGCTTGAAATAGACAGGGTCCAAATGTAACTTACTAGATAAGAAAATACGACATATATTGACACACATATATACTTGGGGCTATCTAATTACTGCTTTCCGTACAGCAATGCCATTAATTTCTCCTTCAGCCAGGGCAAAAAGATCCCAATCTTCTGTCCTTTGAATTCAGGGGAAGAAACCTTTGGAGGTTCATGCGATGGGGAAAGCACTCGCTGAAAGTGAAGAAAGTATATCTGGCACTAGTATCTCTGGATCACATCATTTCCAGCTTGGCAAATACTTTAAGGGTAGTGAGCCATACAACTCTCAATAAATCCAAGAAACAGATACAAGTACAGAATATAAACCACAGCAATGAAGTCAGCACGGGCTGAAATTCTATACAAACATTTGGATCATCTGGCATTTCAAGAGGGGATACAGAATCTGGACAACCAATAGCTATATTTCAAAGTTAGCATTTCTGCTACGATAGGTGTAATAATAAATTATATGTGGCTTTAAAAACGGATTGTTTCCAAACCACTTGGGGTTCTGATACATCCTAACTCAATTATTAAAAAAACCTCCAGCTTATGAATGTGGGGTATTCTGCTTCTATACCCATGATTCTAAATGCCAGGAAATGGCCTGATATTGCTGCATAATAATGTGCCCACATTCCTAGCTGGAAAAAGGATGCCAAGCTTTACATCTTGACTGTTGCCACTAGTGCTGTCAGCATTCAAGCTGCCCTTTGCTATGTAAAACTTTTTTTTCCTTGCTGGCAAAGAAAGGCAAATAAGTGGGTGCTCAATCAAGTGAAGAGTGAACTCTCACTAGAGGAAAAATGAGTAAACTGAGGTTATCCTACCACGTACATATAAGGAAAATACAGAACTGACATGAAAAGACAATATTGCTGGGAAAGAGAGGGGGCAGTATAAAGAAATAAAGTTATAATATGAGGCAGATTGTCTCAATAATGGAAGCCATAGCTGCTAGTTTGCTACCAAAGACAGGAGTGCAGTTGGAAGAGAGAACAACCTAACATGAGATGCTGTTTGTTTAAAATATCTGGGCAGAGCTGTCAAGGATACGACATCTTGGAGGTCATTAACTCATAGACTTTTGACTGTTTCTGTGAACTTTCATTGCCCCCCAAAGGTCTCCCTTCCACAAAACTGCAACTTTGAAAGGCTTTTTTGAGGATCAGTATTTCAGCACCTGCAGCCTAGATTCCTTCCAAATTAAAAAAAGAGGGTGAGGCCGATTATTATCTTTCAAGATAAGCAAGATTGGTATTTTCAATTTATTTGATCTGTTTTGAATCTAGGGATGTTTAATGGTCACTTGTTTCTGCATGGAAGACTACCATTCAGTTCCTAATACGTTAACAGTTGTCCAGTGGCTGTTCAAGGTGATCACATGTGTCACCGACAGTTCAAATGCTGCTATACTATCCTGGTTAAAAAGAAACAAAACAAAAAAACTTACCAACTTCAATGTTTCCTGTAGTAGTCTGAAGAGTTGTTTCACCTGTAATAAAACCAAAACAAACCTATAAGAGAACTTGACTAGTTTAGGACAGTTTCACACAGGCTAGTACATCAAAGTTATTCAGGCTGCAATCCTATATCTTATTCACCAATTAAGCCCTGCTACACCCAGGAAGGCTTACTTCTGAGGAGATGTGTATATGATTGTGCAGCAAGAGGTCTTTACTCTGCATTGACAGATATAGCAGATGAATTAAATGCCAGCTATACAACTCAGTACAGTGGTGACCCACTTGACGCTTACCCTGCATGACGTCGAAATCGCTTTACGATGAGTTTTTTGCAATCGCTATTGTGATCGCAAAACAATGGTTCCAATGGGGATTTTTTGCTTGACGTCGATTAGGAGCCTGCTTCGCGAACTATTTGTTCGCTAAATGACGATTTTTCCGGCTCCACAAAATGGCTTCCCTTCGTAAAATGGCTTCCCTCCCTTCTCAAAATGGCTGCTTTCCGGACCCATGCTTCCGAAGACAGCAATTATAAACAGCTGATCGACGGTTCTCTATGGGCAATCTTAGCTGGACGATGAGATATTTCCCCACTGGAACGCATTGACCGGTTTTCAATGCATTCCAATGGGTTTGGGTTGTTTTTTGTTTTTTTGCTTGATGATGATTTCGCTTAACAGTGATTTTCCTTGAACAGATTAGCATCGTCAAGCGGGGCACCACTGTATTTACAGATACAATGGCTAAAATCTAGCTAGGTTGCAACTAAAGTAGGTTTATTTGAATCAGTGGAACTTACATTCTGACTGATTCAATGAAACCTGACTAATTCAATGGGCCTACTCTAGTTGTGACTTACTGCTGGATTTCAACTAGCATATATGAAAATAATAAATAAATAATACCATTCCCCAAATATAGATATGAAAAACAGTCTAAAAGCCTTAATGGCCATAAATCAAATCAAAACACATAAATAGAGCAGCATTACAAGAGAAAGAACAAGAACTGTACTATTTTAAAATTTTGGACAAAAACAGATAATTCATTTGACTCTGACAAAAATCACAATTATTACAGTACCTTAAATATCAACCTCCCCCTTCTAACAAGTAACATCCTTTGTGGTCCCTATTGTTAGGCATCACAACAATGGGTGACAACTTACAAACACACCTTTTAGCTTCTGCTAAATGTACAGTTGCTGTGATGTTTTTTCCCTGATCTGTGTCCCTGCAGGTGTTTACAGAACTATTTTGTCCATAACTATTTGCCTGAAGGGTCACAGCAGTTCTGCTATTTGCTCAGGTAAGATCCTGGGTCCAACATCCTTGACCAAAGCCTGGAAAAGTTACTTTTTAACTCTAATGGTCATGCTGGCAGGGGTATTCTGAGAGCTGTAATCCAAGGAAGTAACTTTTCCAAGCTTTGCTCTAAGTTAATAGCAGAAAGAAACAAAGGAGAAGCCAGAACACCTTTACTTCTATCTTCTCCATAGTACTACCAAGCTGCAATTGTTTTTTCTGGAACTCTGTAGACCACAGTGGATCTGACTGAGACAAGGCAGTCAGAGAGAGAAAAGAATGCAACTATGGCTGATCAGTTCATAGTCCTTCTCTAGGTCCCAGCTATTCTTCTTGAACAATTCACATGCTGCAGGAATGGGAAGTGGGGCCAAGTTGTGGGACAAATGGGGTTCAGCCTTTTAAGTTAGCACAGGGTCAGAAAGACTAACAAAGTATCGACCAGTGAAACGGCTATGAATCACCCTAACAAAATTTTCTACTTCACAACCACAAGTGGAATGGAAAAGATGCCACTGTTTGGAATGCAAATAGCTCATCTGCAATTTGTTACAAAATCTTGTCTTTCCAGGAGCTGAGCTAATGGATTTGTGGCACTGAGCTGGCCAAATTCATGTTGTGCTTGAACAAAATAAATTGTTGTAGGACAGCTGCTCTGGGGTACAGAGGGATCCTTGGGAAAGAGGAGTCAGACTTATCATTAGGCATACACCGACCAGATCCAGAAGATCATCTCCCAAGTCAACAAGTCAAGATATGAAGAAGATTTTTGCTCACTGTCCCTTTTGCTCTCCACCATCTTCCAGGAGGCCATAACAGCTCGTGTGGCTTCTGCCTGGTGCTTCAGATCTAATATTAATTCTACATGTGGGCCTTAGATCTAGACTATGGTTCAATCAGAAGCTTGCTAGCTTGCTTGTTTATTTATAACCCATCTTTCTCCTGAAATGGACCCAAATCAGCTTACTATAACCCTATCCAGCACAAACTGGATCCCCATTCCCCAATCTGCTTTTCAACTGACCAGAATCACCCGTCTTGTCTGGATCAAGTTTCAGTTTATATAACCTCACTATGTCTATTACTGACACCGTACACTAATTTAGAATGGAAACAACTTCCTCAGACTGAGATGGAAAGGAGAGGCAGAGTTAGACATCATATATGAAACAGCAGAACAGTTCCCAGTGTAGCTTCTACAACTCTGTTTGCGTTTATTCGGCATACTGAGTCACAGAACTAAAGGCTTCAGCACTCTCTCAAAGTAGTGAGTACCCCCAAGTATCAGACTGGCCAGATGCACACTCTCACTGGTTACTGGAGCCTCCTGAAAATTTCAATTGAGCCATGCATGAACAAGTGGATCTTTTAAAGCTCTGTTACGTTATTGCACAACCCCCTCTGTTGCCTTTTGGATCTGCCTCTTGGTTCCCACTTTGGTCCTGCCTCTTGACTTACTCTCTGATCCTAACATTTATCCTCACCTTTTACCTAAAGACAACAACAACAGTACACCGATATTTAACAGATACTTAGATTGTTGGTTAAAACTTTTATCTGTTACACCCTGTTTCCCCAAAAATAAGACCTAACCTGAAAATAAGCCCTGGTATGATTTTTCAGGATGCTCGTAATATAAGCCCTACCCCCAAAATAAGCCCCAGTTAGGTGAAACCCTGCCCTCCACCATTGTGCAGCAATCAGAAGTAGATGACATCACTGCATTTGAATAGATGTAGATGGTTGTACATAAAAAAACACCCCCTGAAAATAAGCCCTAATGCATTTTTTTGGAGCAAAAATTAATATAAGGCCCCGTCTTGTTTTTGGGGAAACACGGTATAATACCAGTCAATGTTTACGATTTTATCTATTTTTGACTGTGTTTCATATTTTCAAATGTTTTACAACAAAAACAACATGTTGTCAAATCTATTCCAATTGATGGTGCCAGTTCCTAGAGTCTTCCCAGGTACAGAATACTCAGAAGTGAGCACCTGTGTGCAGTTTCTCCAAGATCACTCAGGCTACCTAGTTAACTCAGACTCTACCTGTTCCCTAATTCTGGTTCCTGCTTATTTCAAAGCTCTACTTCCTGGCACACTCTCTGTTGCCAACTCTTCAGTACAACTCTTGATTCACACCAGACTGTTGCCTACAGGCTCATCCTGACAGCACCAGAACCCGACTATTTCAAGGTAGTTCTTTAGCAAAATATAAATTATGTCCTTCTCTTTCTCTCTCCCTTTCTTTTGGTCAAAATCAAGATATTGTGAAAATACAGTACCTTATGGATCTTTTGAAATATGATGCACTATCCTCTCATGACTTTCTAATACACTCAAGGAGTGACAGTTTCTCAAACATCAGATAAATAAATAAAAGCTTTCCAAACCCAATTAACTGAAGCAAGTCCAATAGTTTGCTTTGAAAGATGAGCTTCTCCAAGAATTGTGTAGACATATTATTGTTCCATCAGTACCAGGATTTAATGAACCCTGCAATTTTTATGCTAACCAATTCTTAAATCCAGAGGCTTTGTGGAGTTGGGGGAGTCTCACTGTAGCCAAATCATTTGTTTATTCTGAACTAATGCTGACATACAGGAAATACAGAGCTTGGACAATAGTAATTATGTTTGACAGCAGCAATTTAATCTTCCCTTATGTTCTGTTCTTTACAAGCAGTAACCGAAATAATTTTTTCTGCATACACAGCTTTTGTTTATTTGTAGACAGAAAGATATAAGTATAAGCTTCAAGATCAAACCGAGACCATGTTGGTCCTGGAATGTGAATACAAACACAACATCTCTCTTGTTCGACTGTGAATTTCTGACTCCTTTGGGACCATCATTAGAAGCCAGATTAACTGTATGGAAAGAATCTGAGATAACAGTTGAGTAATCCATTTTGTATTTAGCCTTGAAGCAAGAAGCCAAAGACAAATTAAAGCAAAAACAGAGAAAGCAAAAAATATGTTGGCCTCACTCCAGTTCCACAGCAACCACAACACACATGCATTGGTAAGGACCTACAGTGGTGCCTCACATTACGATGTTAATTCGTTCCAGCGAAATCACTGTAGAACGAAAACATCGTAAAGTGCAATTAAAAAGCCCATAGAAACGCATTAAAACCTGTTTAATGCATTCCGATGGGCTTAAAACTCACGGTCCAGCGAAGATCCTCCATAGGGCAGCCATTTTTGCTGCCTGTCTTGCGAGGAATCCGTCCCTAAAAACAGCGGGGAGCCATTTTATTTACCCGGTGGCCATTTTGAAACCGCCGATCAGCTGTTGGAAAATTATTGTTTTGCGAAGAATTGGTTCCTGAAGCAGGGAACCAATCATTGCAAAGGGAAATTCCCCCATAGGAAACATCATTTTGCGATCGCAAAAGCAATCGCAAAAAGTTCATCGTAATGCGATTTCGTCGTTAAACGAAGTGATCGTAATGCGAGGCACCAATGTATTCAGGTGTGTGCTCCTGGGTCTTTGTGTGCCTCCTACATCCTCATCCAGCCCTTCCAATTCTATTTGATCAAAAGTATAATTCCTGAACTATATGTGAGGTTAAAGGTGTGGTTTAAAATAAATTCTTTTGTTTTATTTAATCCTAGGCTTAGGAGTGATGATTTCTATCAGCTTGCCCCCCCCCACTTTGTTATGTAAAACAAGGGCTATCCCATGTGGTGTAGTGGATAATGAACAGAGATGGGCATGA